CAAAACAAATAACATCATCAAAAATAAGAGCAATAATTATTCCTTTGAATGCTATGTGTATTGTGATGAGATGTAAGTTCGGCATTCATTAGCAGAATAACCTTGATTAAAGAGTTAGACCTTTAAAACTGGTCTAATAGAGGGAACTTCCTCACCTTGATAAAGAGCATCTTCAGTATTTATAGCTAACATCATACTTAATGATGGGAAACTAGATGCTTTCCCACTAAGATTAGGAACAAAGCAAGAATGTTGCCTCTTATCATCCCTTTCAACATTGCACTAGCTAATGCAGTAAGACAAAAAAGGAAATTAAATGTATACAGATTGGGAAGAAAAAGAATAGGGGTGCCTGGGTGGCTCGATGGGTTAAAGCCTCTGCCTTTGGCTCAGGTCATGATCCCAGGGTCCTGGGATGGAGCCCCGCATCAGGTTCTCTGCTCAGTGGGGAGCCTGTTTCCTCCTCTCTCTCTCCGCCTGCTGCTCTGCTAACTTGTGATTTCTCTCTCTCTGTCAAATAAATAAATAAAATCTTAAAAAAAAAAGAAAAGAAAAAATACAACTTTATTTGTACATAACATGGTTAGTCAGAGAAAAATCCCAAAGAATCACCACCACCAACAACAAACCACGGGAACAAAAGTGATTACACTAAGGTTGCAGGATATAAGATTAATATCCAAAAGTCAACTGCAATGAATAACTAGGGTTCAAAATTCAAAACAATATCATTCACAGTAGCACCAAAAAACTGAAATACTTAGGTAGAAATATGACAAAATATGTACAAGATCTATATGAGGAAAACTATAAATATCTGAGGAAATAAAAGATCAACTAAGTGGACAGATATTTCAAGTTTCATAGATTAAAGAGACTCACTATCATTAAGACCCCAACTTTCTCAATTTGATATACAGTTTCAACACAATCCCTACCAAAATCTTAGGGAGTTATTTTGTGGATTTCAGCAAACTGCTTCTAGCTTATATGGAAAAGCCCAAGAATCAAAATCACCAATGGAGTACTGAAGACCAGAGAGCAAAGTCAGATGTATGACACGACTTGGGTTCAAGACATACTATAAGGCTACATAGAATAGCAGAGACAAGTGCTATGATGGAAATAACAAATTTTGCATGTATTTGTTTTGATACTATATTTTGTGATATATATCCCCTCAAAATAAAGAAAATTATTATCATTCTTATAAGTAAAAAAATAGTCTTCAAAAATGACTATATAGAATTGGGGTCCATAGGAAAAATACAGGCTTAATGTATTGTTTTAATGAAGAAAGAAAAACGAAATCAAGTTGGCTTAGTCATTAAGCGTCTACCTTCGGCTCAGGTCATGATCTCAGGGTCCTGGGATCAAACCCCACATTGGGCTCCCTGCTCAGTGGGAAATCTGCTTCTCCCTCACCCACTCCCCCTGCTTGTGTTCCCTCTCTCACTGTGTGTGTCTCTCTCTGTCAAATAAATAAAAAATCTTAAAAAAAAAAATCCTACAAGTCTGAAATGAAAACGTTCCAGAGCTCATTTACATAGAGACATGGAAAATTTGCATCACAATCACACTGTGTTTTCTAACAAGTTGATTCTATAAAGTTAGACTTTACAGTGTTTTGAGAAACAATGTCAAATATGCATTGCAAGAAACTGCTGAAAGTAAGTCCTTCATTGCAATCTTCAAGTGCCCTTCTTTTCACCTAACAGTATCTATTCACAAGTCTACAATCAATGAATGAAAACGTCCTTTAATAATTTATTTGTGCTGTATATGAGACTATTTTGAACAGCCTTTGGCTTTCACTAATTACATAAAGCATTGTCTATTTTCCAGTGCATCTGGTAGACACGCAGTATGAATAAATAATGGAAGAGTCAATAACGTACAAACTAGGTAAGGAGACCTAGTCCTTTACGACTTGAAGTCTAGATTCAAATTTTCCTTTCCTTGTTAATCTATAGAAACCTAAATGCTAAGTTTTAGAAAACAATTATATAAAGTAATACTTACAGTACTAACCAGTGAGGTGGATCTCAAACCATCTGGTTTTCAGACCTCTCTGCACTCCTAAAAATTACTGAGTATCTCAAAGAGTTCTTTTTTCATTTGTTTTATGTCATTTAACATATGAGGAATTACAGAGAATATTAAAAATGATTCATAAATTTATTTTAAGAAAACAATAACTCCTTTATTATTTATCTAAATAATTATATTTTTCAAAAAAAATCTAATTAAAGAAAAAAGCAGTACCATTTTACATTTTGCAAGTCTCTTAATTGTTTGGCTAAATAAAAGAGAGCTGAATTCTTGTATCTGTCTCTAGATTCAACTTATTGGCATTTTGTACCTCAAAAAGCCTGAGAAAAACTCACTGCACATTCATGTAAGTATGAGAGGGGGAAAAGGCAGCATCCTTGTATTTTTTTTAAATACAGTTTTGACTTCACCAACCCCTATGAAAGACTCGTGGACAGCCAGTGGTCCCCAGACCAAACTGTGTGAACTACTGAACTAAGTTTTATTGAATACGTATAATGTGTTAGATAGCAGTGCTTCCTGTGAATAATCTCATTTGAACATAAAGATGGAAATCGTGTCTGAAAAAGAAAGAGAGATCTTTACAAGCACCAAGTTCAATAAAAATGCCCACTCTGGCCACTGCTTCATTTCTTTCTTTCTGACTCCAATAAATTATCTACCCACTAATGTCTATTTTTACTTTTTGCGACATTCCTTTTCCTCATATAGTCATTATTGGGTATTTCTCTCCCTATTCACCACACACACACACACACACACACAATCCCCTGACTCTGGGAAACTTAAATGAAGGAAGGTTTACTTACTAGAAAATAATGTTCCAACATTTCTCAAATTTACAGGGCATGGAACAAATCAGGAAAGAGGTCACTTTCCTATCATATAAATATAGAACTAATGTCCCACACATTCTGTATTCAGTTTGAATTAAAAGCAAGTTTGGCAGGCTTCCAAAGTTTGAGAATGGCATTTGTTTGGTACCTTGCCATACATTTATTATTGCACTACTCAATAAATAAAAATCTAAGATAAGATTGTCATTTTAATGCATCAATGACAGCAAAAAAATAGAGGAATCAAAAAGCAAATATCTTTGTGGCATGATTTTAGGAGGTCTAATAGGAAAGATATTTTGAATCTCCTGGTTATATATATATATATATATTTACAAGTGGGAAAACAGATACAAGTAAAATGCCTAAGTTAAAAAGAGTGATAGTTATTTAAATGGATACAAATGTGACTTTTCATGGATATTGATACACGGCTGTATGACAGCATATTGACATTCCTTGTAAATATTCCGTGAAATAATTTAATTCACCTGCTTTAAAAAAACAAAAATTTTATCATTTATTTGATAGAGAGAGAGAGAGAGAGGGCAAGCACATGTAAGAGGAGTGGCAGAGGGAGAGGGAAAAGCAGGCTCCCACTGATCAGGTAGCCCAATGTGGGGTTGATCCCAGGACTTGGAGATAATGACCTGGGCAAGGGAGATACAACTGACAGCTACCCAGTGGGCCCTCACCCACTTTTTATTATACAGTTGGCAGGTAACAAGTTCCAGTCTGATTCAAAGAGAAATTCACATTTTAATTCCATAATCAATTACATTATTGGATGTGTTGCTATTTATAGTTATAGTGTTTTAATATAAAGTGTTTTGTATTAATAGTGTTTTAATATAAAGTGTTTTGAATTTATCATCGGAGCATCCCTTTGGATACCTCAATTCTAAGAACTCATGACATCACATTCCATTGTGTGTAGATAACACTTCAGGTAGTACTGAAAGTCAGTGTTAATAGAAGTTGAGTCTTTGGTAACAGAGAACTTAGTAATGGAAGGTTTTCATACAAAGTTAATAGAACATTGAAGGCAGCAGTGATAATTTCAATCTGTACTTAGTATTTTAAGCCCTGAGATTAGTCATACTATGAGCACATTTCTATATGGATGAGGGAAGTTTATGACCCACAAGACAGTGGACTACTCTACTAGTATTGGTTCTGCTTCACCGGTGTGGGCTCACTTAATGTACAAGGCATCATAATGTCAGTTCCAGTCTGAACTATCCAAATGATAAAACAGGTACTTGCCTAATTCACACCTGCCCTCCTTCACAACACACCAAGACAAAATCCAAATGATCTCAGAGAAGAATAATATGAATTTCTTTATTCAGAGTACCCACTGTTGATGCATAAACTGTTTTAGGAAATTTAGATCATTTGTATGCCTATGTTTTCTACTTTTAACTATAGAGTTTAAATCTGAATGAAAATTTAACATAGAGACATATGAAATATTATATATTGTGTTAAAATGTATACTTCATATTTTAAAATTATTTCTTCTGCAAAAATATGATTCTCATGACTTAAAAATCAAAAGCATATTGGTACTTTTTTTTTTACATATCTAACATATCTTTAATACTTCACTTAAAATATGTCAACAAACTCTTAATTGGCAGCATCTACATGTTTTAATGTTCTGAATACCCACAAAGTCTTATTATAGTTAGACATCACTTATCTTACCTAAAACAAATTGTATTTCTAATTTTTTCTCTATTAGAATTTATTTCCTTAAGATACTTTTTTTAAACAGCTAACATTGGAAAACTTAAGTTTCCCAACAGAAATAAAATCTCTATTTTACTGGGAAATTACTCTATTTTTAATATATGCTTTTACAGCATTTCAAAAGCAAATGTCACTTCAAAGCAATACCTGTGAAAGGAAATTAAAAAACTCAGTTTAACTTTAAGAGTTATGGCAGAGAGGGCAGGTCACGTTTTATATTTTAACAACACAAACTATTGTATAATAAATACAAAATAAAGAAAAAGACAGTGATAGCTATTATCGAGGGTGAAAACATTGTATAAACTTAAAGAGGCTGCTTTCTGAACCATCACTGATGTAATATGAGGCTTATCAATTTCATGTACAGAAACAATCTCTGTAGTCAAATTTATCATTCATGTTCATGCCCCCACATGAGAAGTAGTAGGTGAATATCTGTAGGAATACAGTTTATTGTCTGCTCCTCCACTCAGAAGTAACCCTGTGTCTGTCCAGTCTACACTCAGAACTTTGTCTTCATGAGCAGCCAGATCATAGAGAGGAGCCTTACAACTTCTTGTATCCCACAGTTTGACAATGTTATCTAAAGAACCTGAAATCAGCTGCTGCTCATGGGTAGGAGACCACTTTAATGATGTAACCCAGCCTGTATGTGAGGTTAGGGACAGCGACACCAAAGAACCATCTTTAGTTGGAGGATCCCACAGTCTGATATGCCTATCTGTGCTTCCAGATGCTAAACGTTTACAAAGTGGAGAATAGGATATACAATTAAACACTTTATTTCCTGTCAAAGTTGACTTAAGACTGCCAGACTCTACATCCCACACCCTAATTGTGTGGTCCCAAGATGCACTGCAGATTTCTTCAGCATCTGACCACAGAACTGAAGAAATTGCTTCCTTATGGCCAGAGAGGGTCACTATGGGAGTCCTCGTTAGTCCCAACTGCTCTGTTTTCTGTTTCTTTCTTGGTCGATTTGTGGATTCCTCCATTTCATCTTCTTCATCTGTAGGAACTATAGACCAGATCTTTAGCATCTTATCCCAGGAGCCACTGCAAAATTTGGTTCCCGTGCTATCAACAGCTATAGAATCCACACTTCCGGCATGACCTCTGCAGTAGTGCACGGCTTTCACCTTGTTTCTCTCCACATTCCACTCCCATAAGAGAATCGTCTGATCCATAGAGGCACTCAGTAGTAGGCAAGACAAACTGTCTTTTTTCACCCAGGCCATATCTTTTACAACATCTGTATGTCCCACAATTGTCATTATTGACTTTCCTTCCAAGGACCAGATCCGAGAAGTCTTATCATAAGAACCAGTCAAGATCCATTCCTCTGCCCCTTGGACGGAACTGATCCAGTCATCATGGAACATGCATTGCTCTGGCTGAGGAGCAGTGTACTTCTCCACATATTCCAGTTCCACGACCTCTTCTGAGGAGATGTTTTCCAGTTCCATGTGTTTGAGCAAGGGCATTCGCAGAAACTGACCCTTGATAAGGAAATCGAACTCCACATGCTTGTGGAACTCATTTTTGGCCTCCAGCAATTTATTGATGATGTTACTAAGGTCAGCAATTTCAGAGGCTGCAGGAATTGAGAAGGGAACATCATCTACCGCGTATTTCTTGTTGTCAGTGAAGAAGCGTGTCTGGAGCTGAGCCATGGCGAGGAGTACCCACAAGACTTGTCTACAGAAGCGTAAGTGGTGATAGGCAACAGGCGCTCCAGTCTGTTACAAAAAGAGGCAGCTCAAAATTAGCTTGCACAGGTACGCGAGAAGATGCAGTCTTCTGGGCTTCCGCTTTCCTTCCTCCCGGTACATATTTATTAAAAATAATTGTGACTGGTACACAATCCTCTATAAAGTATAGGGAATAGATCATATTTCATTGTAACATTATACTGTTGTGAAATGTAAAGAGAATTTCAAACCAGTAAAAGAAGTGAAATAATATCTCTAGTGAGGATAGTGATTGGGCTCATTTTTTTTTTTTTTTCTTTTTTTGGCCAAAGTTTTGAAAATAGTAACAATGAACTCAAATTCTGTATTACTTTGCACTCTCTACTCTAGGAACTACTTTTAAAATATTGATATTAATAATGACATATTCATCATTCAAAGACTGAAAAATGCATTTCTGGATACACTGGTATATAGTTACATTATCACCAGAATAAATAATACGTTTCATTCTATTACATAATACAAACTAACTCAACTCCAAGATTTTGTTCACTATGCTGAATTTTTAATGACGGTGCAAAGCTGTGTTTTTACTCAGGTTGGGCGAAGGTCCATGGGCATATTAATCTATTCATAAGTGGCAGTATCCCTCCCCCTTTATTCTAATATAGCTATAAAGTCACACCTATTGTACTCATTGTATTCATGGGCAAATATGTCAGTTGGTCCTAAATGAATTACCTAAAGCACATCTGACAAACCAGGCATTACTGTATACTTAAAAAGTAATAGGAACCAATGCGAGGACTACAATGAGACCTGAATAAGGTGACAGGCTGCTAACTTCCTCTACTTAGGACATTTTGCCTTTCACAATTTCTCCTTTTACATCTTCTTTATATTTTACACCTTTCTTTTACATCTTCTTCAATACCAGGATGCAATGACCCCATTAAGCTCTGAAAACATGCTAATCAGGCAGATTTCATAGCTAGAGGCAAACTTCTTAGTCTGTTTCTCCAATACCCGTATGATTAAAATAGCGTAGACATTTTATGGCTCAGGACCATTGGATGATACAGTATAAATATTTCAAAATAATAAATGTGGTAGTCTGAAGCATGACCACCATCATCTTTCACCAACCTGGTGACTTCACACTGCAACAATATGAGCCCTGGAAAAGCAGTTTAATTTTCTGTTCCTAAGAGAAAATATCTGGGTGGGTGGTCCAGAAATAGCACTTCATAAATTAATTTAGGTAGATGCTTTTTCTTTCAGTATCCAAGGTGTTTAATATACACATTGGAATGGATGACTATTTGCTTTATCTGCTGAATGACTCATGTAATGATAACCATGTGTGTTTGCTTTCTGTACACCAACACAGTTATCAGCTGGATGACCTAGTATTGACATCTTATCCTAGTAACTAATACCCACTTACTAGTTGGAGACATCTCTTTTGAAATTTAAATCCCCACTCAACTTTAATCAACAGTTGGGCAAAAGCCAAATTTAACTCATGAAAACTAGTCAAAATCCCTGTGGCATTCCTCCTTTTGATTTATCACCTCTGGTATTAGCCAGCACTCTGGTCACTGACCACAGTCACAGGTCTGGCCATTGGAATTAACACAAACCTCAAAAGAAAAAAAAAATCAAGTCCATTTATAGAAATGGAAGTTGGGGAGTTATGATGAGGGAGTGATAGTTTTGGTCCAACAGTTTAAGAGAAGAGTTAGCATTTCCAGAATTAAAAAGTATAGATTAATGAATCCAGTATTAGCTGCTGTTTCCAAAAGCTCAATGTATAAGAGCTTATGTAGGTAGTTATGCACATATTAATTTTAAAAAGAGAACTTTTAATTGCAATATAACATACATATAGAAAAATACAGAAACCACAACTAGAAAGCCTAAAGAAATTCAACAAAAATGCACCCATGTAATTAGCACCTAGGTCAAGAAATTAAACATTATCATCACTCCAGAAACTGTGCATCCTTTCAAGGTCACCAATTCCTGAACAGTAAGGATAATCCTGATTTCCAAGCTGTGATTTCTAAGATAGTTGGTCTTGTGCATGTTGTATTTTTGAATTCAAGGGTAATTTGGTGGGGACTCCATTTTATCTGATGTTGATAAGTATTAACTAATTTAAGCTCAACTATTGTAATTAGTGGAGGGATTGATAGATATCTTAATGCTTTAGAAAACCAGAGTTAGAAAAGTATTTTAAACAAAACTTATTATTCCATTGATGTATAATATATATTAAAACACATTTTGGGGAGCCTAAGTGGAAATGAGAAAATCTGATCTTTCTTCCAACTGATGTCCTAGATATTGGTACTGTATCTCTTGAATTGATTACAAATTAGTGCTATTAAGTCAGACATGACTTCAACTATTGACTCTGTCACTTGCTAGGTATTTGATCTTAAGCAGATAAACTTCCTTAATCTTTACTTTCTTCTTTTGTAATAGAGATTATAACAGAACGTAATTCATAATGCTTATAGAATTTAAAGGAGGTAATGTCAAAAGTAGTTATCTTGATCCTGGGATAAGGAAGTTCCCAATAACTTATAATCCATACCCTTTGACTGGAGTATGTCATTTCAAGGAAGCCATCCTAATGATAAAATACAAAATACAGGAAAGCTTTATGCACAAAATCATCACTGTAATAATATAGAAAAAATAGATATAGTAGACAAGTTTATTCAAGATTAAAAATAAAATGGACTGGAAAAACATACCCTAAATTTGCAAAACATCATATCAAAATATTGCAAGATAAAAAAAGATTTGAATAAAATTTTGTTCCTTCCTAAAATATTACAACACTGAGCAAATATTGTAAGATATATCTTTTCCTGAGTAACACTGACAGTCCTGGCCTTTTAACTGTTCACTACTTTTAATAGTATTTTGAAATAAATAAAAGTCACTTTTATTTTTAAATGACTGGGATCCCCAATCTTGTGATGAAAAACCATATGCAACTTAAATGAAACTTGGACAGTCTCTTCAACAAATGGTGTTGGGAAAATCAGACAGGAAAATGCAAAAGAATGAAACTGGACCATTTGTATAAATTATACACACAAAAAAACCTCAAAATGGGTGAAAAGTTTATATGTGAAACAAGAAACCATTAAAATCCTAGAGGAGAACAAAGGCAAAAACTTCTTTGACATTGGCTATCTTCTTACTAGATTGGCAGCTTCTTAGGTCTCCTGAGGCAAGGGAAACAAAAGCAAAAATAAATAAAGTGTTGAGCCTACATCAAAATAAAAAACTTTGCATTGATGGTATAGTGGTTAGCATAGCTGCCTTCCAAAATAAAAAACTTCTACACAACAAAGGAAACCATCAACAAAACTCAAAGGTAACTTACGGAATGAGAAAAGATATTTGCATATGATATATATGATAAAGGGTTAGTAAACAAAATATCTAAAGAACTTACCAAACTCAACACCCAAAACACAAATAATCCAGTTAAAAATTGGGCAGAAAACATGAATAGACATTTTTTTTCAAAGAAGACATACAGATGGTCAATAGACACATGAAAAGATGTTCAACATCACTCATCATCAGGGAAATACAGATCAAAACTACAAGACATCATCTTATGCCAGTCAGAACAACACAGGAAACAACAGATGTTGGTAAGGATGTGGAAAAAGGGGAACCTCTTACACTGTTGGTGGGAATGCAAGTTGGTGTAGCCACTGTGGAAAACAGCATGGAGGTTCCTCAGAAGTTAAAAATAGAGCTACTCTATGACTCAGCAATTGCACTACTAGATATTTACCCAAAGGATAAAAAATACTAATTCAAAGGGATGCGTGCACCCTGATGTTTTTAGCAGCATTTCTACAATAACCAAATTATGGAAGGAGCCCAAGTGTCCATCAACTAATGGACTGTTGGAATATTACTCAGCCATAAAAAAGAACAAAATCTTGCCATTTGCAAAGATGTGGATGGAGCTAGTGAATGGACTATTACTCAGCCGTAAATAATGAAATATTTCTTAGCCATAAAAAGGAGTGAAATCTTTCTATTTGCAAAGATATGGATGGAGCTAGTGAGTATTATGCTAAATGAAGTAAGTCAGAAAAAGACAAATACCAGATGATTTCATTCATATGTGGAATTTAAGAAACAAAACAAATGAGCAAAAGGGGGAGAAAAAAGAGAGGAAGGCAAACCAAGAAACAGACCCTTTACTCTAGAGAACAAACCGATGGTTACCAGAGGGGAGGGGAAGATGGTTAAAAGAGGTGATGGGGACTAAGCCCTTGCTGTGGTGAGCACCAGATAATGTACGGAAGTGATGAATCACTAAACTCTGTATTTGAAACTAATATTACACTGAATGTTAACTAGCTGGAACTTAAATAAAAACTTGGAAAGTTAAAAAAAAAAAAAGAATGTTACTCTCATCCTGGTCTTGGTAAACTTAGGTCTTGAGTTTCGACTCAATGCTATATCCATCTCACAAATATGAACAAGAGGTTCAGAAAAATATATGTAGCATAGCAATAGCTTTATTCTATTTTAATTATGTATTTAAGTTACTCTTTGACATATTCAGTTCAAATAAATGGGTGATTCTATTCCAAAAAAGAAAAGAAAATCATATGGTCCAGGAAACAAGAAAGGGAGGGCGTAGAAGATTCTAGTTGTGATAAAGAGGTGAATAAGACCTTTCAATTTTTTACTTTTCAATAAGCACTGGTCAGAGCACTATTTATTGTAACCAAGAGGCTTGCATTTCATTTTAGAGATTCTGATGTTGATTTCTGAGTTCATGTTCCTTTTTACAAAACAACAGAACACAAACTCCATTTGGTTCACTTTTTTTAACTTGTGTGAAGGATTTTAATGTTTTAAGATTTTCCTTTATAGCCCTTCACACCATTTCCTCTCCTTGATAACACTGACAAAACTGTTGTCTAACAAAGTTGTTGATCAATAAATTTTGAGAACTGTACTGAATTATTCCTGGGATGT